ACTGGATCGTCCGACACATTTGAGAGGTTATAGCCTTATTTTTTCTCGGAATGTGCCTTTAAATAAGCGATTTCCTCAAAAGCCGTCACCCATATTGAACAGTAAAGATCTGCTTCACAAAAAAATCTCCTTAGTTTCCTCGCACACAGGATGTTTCCGCTGCTACAACATAGAGCAAGAGCTGGGAAGTGTAGTAGCCGAATATGTTTCAGAGATTCAGATTTATATACGTACATATACAGTAATTAATTATTATCACATGACCAGACAACAAGCTTTCCGCTTGGAATTCCGTTTAACGGAGACGTCATTCGGTGAGGTTTTTTTGCCAAGTCGTAAGGTACGTTTTGACGTTGCTTTTTCCTTGTCTTGGGAATCCCTGATTTGACGAACGCAATCAATGAAAATCTGAAAAAAGCGCGTTATTTACAGTTATGGAATTGAACCGTGCGAATGCTAACCGTGGAAACGTTCTCGTTTAACTTCGCACTGGTCTCGAAAAGAGAACAGCCGAATTGTTTGACCAGTTCTCGCCCAGCTGTTGTCGGCACGACACGATCCAGATCAGTCTTGTTCCCTACGACCACCATTGGTACCTAAACAATGGGCTTAAACGATAAATCTAACTGACGACCGGTTCAAGACAAGCACCGCTGGTAATCTGCCATAAAGGAAAAAACTAGTGCGAGATAAGGCTTAATCGAGTTTTCGGAAAGTCGCCTGCTCCTCACTCAGCAACTGCACCATGTGGGATTCTCCTCCTGCTTAGAAGCAGCTCCCGCGATAAATCATGGATAGTTGTTTTTCAATTATGAAACAGCAGCTGATAAGTAATCTCCCAAAGAAGAAAACAAGCAAGAAGCGTCCTCCAGAACAACATAAACAAAATCGCTCCCTCACAGTCACACCTCCCTGCGGTCTCTGTGCAACCCCTAGCTCACAAATCTCTATCACATCTCGCAGTAGTTGATATCATCCAGTGCAAAAAAAGAATACAAAAAGAAAACAACAAAAAAATTTCAAAAGTCGTGTGGTCGAGAATTATGGGTTTACGGTAGCGCGCATTTTGGTGTAGTGAAGTGCGTCGAGCTTTTGCACCACGAAAATTGCGTTACTGTGATTTTTACGCGTTTTACCTTGCGAAATGGGTTGAGTTGATTGTATATGCCCACAATGAGTAAACTGAGTAGAATTATCCATGTGAACGAGCGCGGTCAGCAAAAAGTACATGCGATTCCGATTAATGCCCGCCGCCCCAACTAAGTACAACTGAGTGGCCCGCCGTCGGAGGGCATCTAGCAAGTAAGGCAGTCCAACTGGGCAGGCGGTAGATCTAAAACTTTCAGCGGCTGTAGCTCGCTCCTCGCCCGCTGTGGAGTCGAATAGAGTGGGACAGTCTCTTAGGAGGGGAGACGAGACCATGTATTTACTCAAACGCCGGGAGCGTCTTTAACATCAGTCAAAGCAGCGAAAATGTTGGAACATAGAGCAATAGGGAAATTACAGGAGTGGTACAGCATGGTCGGGAGAACCTAATCTGGGGTCATACTTGGTCAATGAATAGGAGGTCTAGGTCGGACGGGGTGGTCCTCGCATCGGGCTTTGAGGCTTGAGAGGAAAAGCCCTCTTCTCCAGCTGTTGCTAATGAACTGTTTAACAAACTATGCGGCTATTCTCATTTTCTGAGAGGCAATATTTCAGGGTTGGGCGTCTTACTTCCCCCGTCTCTGGTTGCAAGGCCCTCGGTCCTTTGGAAAACTGGTTATTTCCTAAAAAAAGGGAGCTTGGTTGGAGTGGATCTAAAATTTTTACCCCAGCTTCCCCGATGGCTGGACGCCGAGTAGACTAGAATCCTTCATCGATAAGACGAATACAGCCCCAGCTACCGCTTAACAATCTCAAAATGTTTTTCATTTTGATGATATCATAAGGGTGAAGTTTGCGATTTTTAGGTCAGAAAATGGCGGGTCACATTCTATACGTGCGGATGCGGCAAGCATTTCACTTTCATTCGGAATCCTGGTGGCTTATTGAATGCGATGTGGCCTATGCAACGACTTGCGGAAGGCAGATGATGTACAAGTAAGGGCTCTTGTCCTCCCAGCTTAATCTGATACAATTTAGAATCTCCGAAGTGTAGAAGGTTGATTAGCCTGGGAGGGAGCCGATCCCGGAAATGCCGGCAATTCCGTACAGAACTTCGATTTGCAACTGGAACACAGGCAGGGAAAGTTTGACCCATGTACAATCTCACTTTCGCATGGCAGAAGCGCCTGGCGCACGTGTCCCAGGTGTAGGCGCCAATACCCCACGTAACCAATCAAGTGTTACTTTCTTCGTTCATATGGTGTATGAACCCCTTCCTCCACCAGAAGACGAACAACTTTAGCGAGAATTCAACGTTTCCTCCAGCGATGGGTTATATTCTCCTATGTTCATTTAGGAAAAGTGACAGGGGCAAAGAAGTCAAATATGGATCAAACGTTGAATAGGTCCCAGACTACACAAGCTGATTGTCCACTCAATTTATGGTAACATAATGTAGCCACTTATAGAACGAAAGCATGGATGTCTACGATTCATCCTAACGCATACGGGGATTACCATCAAGTTTTTAATTGAGCGCTCATAGAACACGGAAACGCTAATATGAGCGCGATGATTCGATGGGAAACATGTGAAGCATTCGTGTTATCCTGTTTTCTCAGGCTGCGTTCATAGCTTGCGACGACGTTGCTAACGTCGACGTAACCAGCGACAATTTCCGAAGACTAGATACGTATCGATTCGACGTAAGTAAGGACGCGTTCATACATGATGTGTGAATGGAGCTTTGACAGCTCCATTCTTCTGCGGTGAGAGTACAGCAGTGACTCACCTATTTATTTCGGCTGGATAGCAGTAAGTAAGGACAATGCTCTGTCGAGAATCCACAAAGAATGCAATTTCTACAAGAGACACGGCCTTATATAGGGTGAGGCTAGACAACCAGAGTATGAAGAAATAGTACATAGTAAGCTATGTGGCGGAATCAAATCGCGCGGGATTCACATCCCTGGCTCGCAATCAATACAGGCCTTATGACAACTAGCTTTATGTTAAACAACGTGCGAAAGAGCATTCAAAATTACAAGGTAAAATTGTTTACAATATTTCAAGAATCTGTTTACAACACTTCAAAGGAATTAGAGGTACATATCCATAATACTTAATCTTGTGGGGGGGGGGGGATTCCCTTACAGATGCAGCAATGCCCAACCGCAAAATGTGCGGATGCGGTATTTGCAGACCTGCGGAACTGGCAGAAATGTAGAATCTACAGAAGGGAGAAACTATATGTATCAATTCAAAAAAGCCGCTGAAATGGGAGAAATGCAGAGATGCGGAATCTGCAGAAATGCCGAAATTTCTACATTTCAGCATTTCCCGCGCTGATGGGGCTACGCGATCAGTCCCTTTGGAGTCATTGTTGGTCGGCGTTTCGGCATTTCTGCAAATTCCGCATTTCTGCCTTTCTCACAATTCCGCGGAAATTGCAGGTTCTGCATTTCTCCCCTCTTCCGCACGACGGCAGAAACGAAGCGATCGATCCCTATCATTTGTAATTTCGGCATTTCTGCACTTCCGCATTTCTCCCAATGTCCGCGGTTTTTTGGATCGACATCTATTCTTTTCTCTATCTGCATTTTCGTCATTTCTGCAATGTCGTCATGTATGAGCGCAGCCTAAACGACGTTTTCGGAGACTACGTTCAGAAGAGTAGATAGGTATCGATCCGGCGTGATCGCCATGACCGACGTAAGCCGACGTAAGGCAGCGTTCAGACTTCGCGACGGCAGCGCTTCGGTCGCGCGTTCGACGCTCGATGCAGTCGAAAGCATGCGCATCGATCGCGTCGAACGCGCGACCGAAGCGCTGCAGTCGCGAAGTCTGAACGCTGCCTAAGCGACGTAACAACGTAATGGGCGACTAAAGACTACATACGTATCGATACGACGTGTCGACGTAAGCGGCGTAACCAGCGACAGAAGATTAGATACGTTTCAAGACGTCGGTCACGCCAGTTACGTCGAACTTCAAGAACTAGAACCGCCAAAAACGTCGGAAACGTCTGTTACGTCAACGCCGACATCGTTGTAAGTTATGAACGAAGCCTTAGCCTCGAAGGACTTCAGCTATCTTCCCTTAAAGAAGGCTATTCCTTCAGTGAACCCCATTCTGAGCAGAGCAATTTGTCACAACTCTAAATGCTAAAAACGGAGGTCAGAAAAAAGAAAGCAAAAAAAACTGGAAGCCCGGATTTTACAGATTTTCGGTGTCAAGTAGCAAGTAGCGATTAAAAGTCATTCTCCTTCCGGTACGCAAACTTTGGCTCATTTTCTGCAATGCGAGCATGGGCAATATTGTGCTCGTATAGTCAGTTGCTCATACTGTACCCTTACTCGAGCGAACAGGAGTTGAACATAGCCCCAGACAAACGCCTGACGCAGTCAAGCCCTTGCTGCGGTTCCCTAAAAACAATGCCGCATCTTCTTTTTGACTTAATTGTGTCTTAAATCTCAGAAAACACTTACTAGCGCACTTGAGAATAAACCTTGACACTATTGAACTATTCCTATCCCAAAACTCAAAAAAATTTCGCTGAAACTTTGTCTATAGATGTTATTCGATGTCCTGATCACGAATATGACATTCATTTCTGGCGCTGGCGCCATTTGGCGCCAACACTTTCCTCGCCAAATTTGATGCAAACTTGTATACGAGGGGTTAACTGACATCCTGATCACGAATATGGCATTTATTTTTGACGCTGGCGCCATTTGGCGCCACACCTTTTCTTCCCAAAATCGATAAAAACTTGCGTAATAGGGTTGTTTGATGCCCTGATCGCGAGTATGGCATTTATTTCTCCATACCAGCGCCATATATTAGGTTGTTCGAAAAGTCCTGCGACACTTTGACCAAATTTTTCGAACTAAATTTCTGGTCAGTAAAGGACATCTCCAATCTACAAGGTAACCGCAGTTGATGACTAGGACTAGTGCCTTTCTTTTGCACAGCTTCTCATTTCCATTCTCATAGAACTACGGCAACTGTGGTAAAAAGAAGAGGTGGACCTCATTCTCGAGTTGAGGTTGATTTTCGGAACTTTTGCTTTTTGAAGGATGCGATAGTGACCAAAGGAGGTGGTAATTAGAGGCTGCTAACTTTGTTAAATAACCTGAGTACGGTCGCATTCTCTGATCGAAATGCATGATCTTTTGGCGTAGCCTGATCCCCACAGCGGTCCTCGCATTACCGAGTAGTAGAGAAAAATTGAGTATTTCTGAATGAATTCAAGCGTGACGTCATCCATATTTTGAAGTCGATTAAGGTGGACTGTGGTCCTTACAACGGTGCTGGTATCCAGTGATACCGCTTTGAAGTCCCACCAATAACAT